TCTAGATGTAACTTCATTTAGAATTTCACTTACTATTGCGTTTGATTTTATTTCCTTTTCATTTTTTTCTTCCTTATTTATTTTCTCCTTTTATGTTTTTTTTTAATTATTTATCTTCTCTTTTGAAGAAATATGCAAGAAAGTCAATGTAAAGGGTTTACCCATATGTATACCTACAAACATGATTGCTATAGAAACACAAGCCATGTGTGTGTGTGTGTGTGTGTGAAGCTCAATTCCCTTCTGCATAAAAATTTTCTCAAAAAAAATCGGCCACAAATTCACTACTGCATTTATACCACATACCTATTTGTGCCAATGAAATAATAGTGGCTAAAGCGCCCATAATTATGCAACATAAGAAATTGCTTGCGGATTTATAGGTTTAAAGAGCATTAGCATGAGTTCTATACAATAATAATAATAAAAACAATAAAAAAAAATTTAAAAATTAAATAAATCAAAAATAATTAAAAAAACATTTAAAAAAAACTCGAAAAAAATATAAAAATATTAAAATTAAAATTTAAATCTTAAAGAAAATCGCAAAGATAAAAGAAACCTAAAATAAAATAAATAAATAAATAATAAACAAATATAAAATAGCTAAAGATTACAAATAAAATTAAATATAAAACATAGAATGTGAATTAAAAAAGTAAATATTTTTTAAAGACTTAATTCCCTGTTGATTGAAAATATCAGAAGAAAAAGGAGATGTAGCAGTAAAAAAAATTCTCACAGCATTATTGACAGCTGCTGTGACGAAATTTATTGAAAACACACCCATACATACACATTGAAAAATGTGAGAAACTAGCACGCTGTAGGATGCCAAAAAATGTAATTGCAATCGAAATGTGGAACGCAATCAGCAGAGCAAACTTTTAGCTGCAGGACAAATGGAAAGAATAAGGTAAAAAGCGCATAATTTGAAAGAAGAAAAAAATGCAGCTGCAGAATTTGAATTATACGAAATAAATCAAATATAACTAAAAAAAAAAAGAAAATATGAAAGAAATAAAAAAAGGAATATAAAAAATATAAAAATATTAATAATAAATTAAATAAAAATTAAAAAAGAAATATTAAATTGTATATAAAAAAGGGTAAACAAAATTTTATAGTATGAAAACTTTTGGTATTTATGTTTTGATAAAAAAATTAAAATGAGAATTTAATTACAAATTACGAAAAAAAATGAATTTAAAAAATATAAAAAAGGAATTTTAAAATAAACAATAAAATAATAAAAATAATAAAAATCAAATGAATAAGAATTTATTTTTACACATATATGTTGTAAACATATATATATATATTATTTAATTTTTTTTGGAAATTGTGCATTATTTTTAACTTTTTTTTTAAGGAAAAAGTAAGAGCTAAAATCGAGTTTAGCTCGGCGTAAGCAAAAAATTGAAAAGTGAGAAAAACTGTTGCGTTTTCAATTTTTGATGAGAATACAAGAAATAATTTTTGAGCCAGAGTATAGAATTGATATAAAGGTTTCGACACTTTAATTTTCCCAAACTGTTTTTGTTAAATTTAGATAGTTTTCTTCCTTAGAGCAGAAAGAATTTCATAACATTGAAAAATTCTTAAATCATTATAATAAGTATTCCAAAAGGTGTGTGTCCTGGTTAGATCATTTTACAGACACCTAAATGTAGGTAACACTATTCTATGTACATTTCTACTACAATTATATTTATATTAAGATATATAATTGCTGAGCAAAAAGAAATAGAAAAATTTTGGAAATTATATAAAATAATATAAATAATAAAAAAATTAAAAATTAAAGATAAACTAAAACTAAAATATATAAAAAATTAAATGTAAAAAAACTGTTTACATTTCTTCTAATTCCCTTCGCAAATGCAACTCTGTGCGTATCTTTTTAATTCCTGGCCGAACAGCGGCAGCAACGAACTTTGCGTATGGCTGTGCTACAGAAAGAAGCTGACACATAAAACGAAAATAGTGCATATACTGCTTCTACTCCTGTGTTGTGTTGGCGTTTTTTACGTGAAAGCAATTTCTAGCACTCGACGAGTTTGGCATATGCATATATTTAGGCGCAACCGCACGCAAGCAGCATATGCCTGGTGAGCTCTGTTTTATTTTTTTGCACTAATTTTTTTTTTCAATTTTCAACATTTCATTCGTTTGTTTGTCATACACACACATACACACACAACGTTAACTGCTTAAGTTTCTTTTTTTCTATGTGTTGAGTTTGTTGTTTCTTGTTTTCTGGCATACTTTTATCCATACACTTATCACACACGTTCCTTATTTACAAATATACCTGTGCACTTATTGTTGTTGTTCGTCTTTGTTTTTGGTTTTGCGTGTCGCCGTTGTGCTTTGTGCATAGCGAGACGAGCGCATATGCGAGCTTTTATCTCACTTTTTACACTTTGGTTCATCTTTGTTCTTTATTTCACTTATATATTTTTATTTTCTTCATTTTTACATATTTTTATGTTGTTGACTGTTGTTGTGTTGTGTCTAACCGCAGGCGTTATGTAGCGCGCTAGATTTTTCTGCCAACAATTTGATCGTTAGTGTGAAAATGTGACACATATTTTAGGGCGCCTACCGGCGGCGATGTACTGGTGAGCTGATGATGCATTACGGTTATAACTT